TTTAACATAGTTTCGGAATTTCGGAAATTAGTTTCGGATATTTAAAACTAGTTTCGGTTTCAGTTTTTGGGCCAAAAAAGTTTCAGGTAGCATCATTACTATCAGGACAAAGTGTATGACTATAATAAGTAAGATTTAATTTTGTAATTGATGGACCTGACGCACTTAATGGCTAACAAATATTGATGAAACAGGTATAATTTGTCTTGACAGCTTCTGTTTACATTGCTGTGAAGGTTCAATTGTCTTTTTTTTTAATTTAAAACATTCTGCATGTTGACATTCAAATCCATATTTATAAACACCATCATTTTTGTCAAGTTTTGTATCTTGAATTTGCTATGCAAAACCTTTTTTCTTTCTATAAGCTAATAAAACTGAATAAGCATGATCCCAGTGCTCAAATTATAGCACCACATATAGGTTTTTTGCTTGTTTAAAAATAGCATCAGATATTAATAATACTTCAAGTGGACGTCTTTTAGAGATTCTATTGCAGCTAATTGAAATAGTAGGTAAAAAAAGATTCTCTTCTTGGCTGAAAACCTTATTAACTTCATTCTGGTTCAATTAAAAGACTTAGATAAGTATAAAATAGCTTAAATAATAAATAGATAGCGAATAAAATACACACATTTGTCTGAGAAAAAAGATCACTTGATTCTTGGCTATAAAATTCGTTATCACTTTCATTATTAATATCATTATCACTTTTGTTATTAATGTTGTTATCACTTTCATTACCAATATCCTTATTACTTTCAATACTAATATTAAATTGATTCATCTGAAAGTATAAATACTGTAAGTGTAAAATACTTGTAATAAAGTAGTTACTAAATAGAATGTGCGTATTTATCATTAACAACACAAAATTAATACTAGACCAAATATGATGGGTAATAACTTGTAATAAGTAGTGACTGGTAGTAGTTGGGCAATGTCTTGTGGTAGGTAGCAACTGAACAGTAGGCTGTAAGAATTGGGCAACGTTTTGTGGAAGCAATGTCTGTGATAGATAACTTCTTTCAATTAACAAATATTTTTTTGTAGACAATATCTTATGGCAATAAACAACTTTTTATCGTAGACAATATTTTATGGCTTTAAAAAAAAAAAATGTAAAAATGACAAAAAAACTAGTAAATTTGTTGCAAGATTAAAAGCGATTTAGTGATTTAGTATAGTGATAATGATTACAATAAAAAAGATTGTTACTAGTAATTTTATCTAAAATCACGTAAAGATCAAGTGGGATGACATTTAGCAAAATCATCCTGGATGATCTACATATTATTTTTTAATATAATCTATAAATAAAATTTACTTTTTATAATTTATTTTAAATTAATTTTTTTTTTATTGTATCAACAGCCTCACCAATATCTTTATTAGATCAAAGCATATATATACATATATTTAACTATCTAAGTTATAGATTCAACATTCTTCAGCTACCTCTATAGATGCCCAAAGATAGTCTGTCTTATCAGTTAAGGCTAGTGCTTAGATCTGGATATCTAATCAGATATCTGGATAGATATCCTTTTTCATATTTTTTGATTCAGATTTTTATACCGGATATTGCTAGATTATCTGAATTTTAATCCAGATTTTATCCAGTTATATAAAGATTTTGGGGATCATACTACTTTTAACACTAAATATAACAGGTAATGTAATTTTGATTGTCTTATATATAATACATACATATAAGTATTGCTAAAAGCAAGCATACACATATTTGTGCAACATAATGCAGGCTTTCAAAAATCATTTTTAGGATCAAAAAAATGTTTGATAATTTCTCTAGTCATTTCAATATAACAAATCTGTTAAATATATAAATTATATTTATTAGTTGTTGTATTTAAAAATATATTATCGAAACATCTAGAATGATTAGTTGTATCTTATTCAGATTTTTTCTGTTATATTAAAGCCCGCATTCTGTTGCACAAAAATGTAAATATAATATAATTTATCATAAAATAATCAGCAAACTTTGATTTTACATATACAATAAGCTTATATTTATTAACAAAAAATGTCTATGAAGCAGCAAATCTGTACCAATGCAAGCTGGGTTAATCTGCTGTATGTTTTTTTTTTTTTATATATTTATAAGTTTAACAAATAAAATAAAGAAATACTAATTTAATATTTATGACTTAAATATAGTTTCTATTACTTTGATATTTCGTTGAAGAAAGAGAATTCTTTCAAATAGGTTAGGTTTAAGAGATGTACGTTTGGCAGTCATTAAATTGCCTGCATTTGAGAATAACCGTTTGCTAGGAGTTGAGGTTACTGAAATAGCCAAATACTTATGAGCTAAGCTGACAAGAATTGAAAATTCTTCTTGGTTATCCTTTTGCTAATTAAATGGATTAATTTTAGTTATATTTGATCAATTTTGAGATACCGATCTACTTCATTTTTAATTAATACATTATCTGATCCAAACATTATAGAGAAAAGATTTAATTGATCTTTATTTTGTTTTTCATTCAGTAAGTTTATAGTTTCATTTTCAGTATTAAGTAATTTGTTATTTTCTTATAAAAGACTAATAGCTTTATTGTGTTCCCAACTATCTAACTGTTTCATTGATTTGCAGTGAGGATCAAGTAATGTTACAACTAATGAATGATTAATTGGTGTATCTCAATAATATTTTAATGCTGTATATAATTTTTTTTTAACTTTATTTACTAATCTATCTGTATTTTAGGGTTGATTGAGTTTAATCATATTTCTGTTTGCAGTAGTAATTGTCACCAATTCCTTATCTAAGTCAATTATATTCTCTTCTTCAATATCATCAAATACATCTAATATATTCGTTAAGTCAATTTCTTCAATACTTGTACTATCTACTAAGAGATTATAACTTTTAGTAAGAATAGTAATAGCTGGCTACATGAAGCTAATTGTAGAGTAATTGCTACCATCTAATAATTCAGTAATTTCAGCAAAAGGTGCTAGAAGCATAGTCAATTCTTCAAGAACTATCCATTCATCTTCAGTAATCATAATAGACTTTAGTTTATTAGCATCTTTACGAACTTTGAAGTCAGAATCAGCACTTATAGTTGCTTCTATTAATCTAATAGCACGTTTAAATTGAAGAAGCTGCTTTCACGCAATATATGAAGAATCCCAATGTGTGATGATATCAGAAATTGCACAATAATATATTTTTTCATCACTACTAATTTTTTCTTTAGAGACTTTTAACATTTCTTGTGATTTTTGTAGTTGTTCATTTTGCTTTGATGTAGTTAAAAAATTAATTAATCGTTTTGCATATTGTATTAAAATTGCCGCAGATTTTAATTCTTTTCTAATAGCAAGTTGTATAGTATGGGCTGTACAAGGAATTTGATCTACCTGATTTATCAAACTAATAGCTTTAATCATACTGGCAGCATTATTAGTTATAATTGAAACCACTTTGCTAAAAAGATTCTAATCATTGATTACATTCTCTAACTAATGATGCTGCCCGAAACTCTTTTGGCCCAAAAACTGAAACCGAAACTAGTTTTAAATATCTGAAACTAATTTCTGAAATTCCGAAACTATGTTAAAAACCCGAAACTATGTTAAAATCCCGAAACTAAAATAGTATTATCCGAAACTATTTTGGCTCAACGCAGGGTAGAGTACTTGAATCTGGATTTATATTT